CTTACTTTAACTGTAATATATGAATTGATGTATGGGCAGTAGATTACCCTTTGATTGGAAATGATCAAGCTGCTCACTTAGTTTTTTGCAGATGGCCACGCTCGTATAGGGATATAAAATCAAATGAAAAAAAAAAGAAAGTTTTAAAATGATATATCTTTATGCAGGTGCTAAATATTGCTCAAGTCCCCCTTAAAATCAAAAGAGCATGGCTAAGTGAGGTTGAGATTTAATTTAATGCAAATATATAAACTTATTGGTTGTATTTAATTTTGAATTGCTTATAATAACCTTACAGGAGAGTATAAAATTTTTCATTTAAGTATCGTGTTGTGAAAGTTAGTCTTTGAGTTGGTATATAGGTATCCAAAATTGGAATCCAAAGAGAAAATTATAGCCCTTAGAGGGACAACCCTTTTCTATTTGGAAGCACTAATTTTGATAATTTCAACAACCAAAGTGAAAAGAATAACCTCCCTTTTGGGGAGAGAATTTTCTTTTTCATTTGTGTATCCTGGTATGAAGAATCTAAGGAGCTCGAAGAGTTGAAAATAAAGAGTATCACACTTAAAGTTAACTTGCACCAATCCTAGGATTAGAATTTTGGTTTATTATCAGTGGTGCCCGACCACTTTTAATTTATGTAAATTTTGGGTTGTAATAAATGGGCATTTTTCCAATAGATGTTATTTTATGGAATTAATTTGATTAATTAATGTGTTTGATTTGCTTTGATTGCGAATAGGACTGCCTATTTTTCATAGTTTTTTTGGCAATTACATATCATTTTACTTTTAGCCTGGATACGTGGAGGCTCGTGAGAGTACGTTAAAACTATTTTTACTCAAATTTAAATAAAAACATTAAGATAACATTGGAACTCTAATGATTAAAGAAGTATTCCTGAGACCATTGGGAGTCAGCATAAGTATATTATTAACTTTTTTCTTTCTTGTTAGGCACATCCCTGCTTGTGAGTTCTAGCAGGCCACCTGACCTTTTAGAATGCAGTCCTATCAAGGGAATGTTGTGTAATATCTAAAAAAATTATTTTTAAGCCTCTTTTAAAAATGGCTTCATATATATTTTATGCATTTAATTAAGTCGATTAACATGCATTACATTAGAAATTAATTAAAAATGAGGCTAAATTTTAATTGCATTTAATTCAAGCATTCTCACCTAACATAAGTCAATGGATCAATTATGATCTGCTCTAGACATTGATCCCAATTCTTAGAAACTTTAACAATAACGTCGCTACCATATTTCATAAAAATGGCTAGACTCATAGATTATATAATCAACTAGGTGGTTAGCTGGCTCCCTAATCCATGTCAAGATAAGTCCAGATTTTGTATTATATTAGCTAGGTTTAGGTCACTATTGTCCAGTGAACAATTTAGATTTAGGCTCTAAGGTAATTTTAGGCATTAAGACATGTTTTTTTGGTAATATATTCTCAAATTTCTAATAAAACAATCATCTCAAATTAAAAATTTTCTCAAACAAAAATTTAAAAGCCAACACTTAGCTTAGGTTGGGGCACTTCTGAGTTGTTTCAAAATTCGAAAGTGTCTCATACCCCTCCTCCGTCGACTCAAAAAATAAGTGTTCAAAATTTGATCTAATCCCTATTTAAACTCCAAACTCAATTCCTTTGACATCACTCCTAGAAAATCTCTAACTAGAATTTTTATCATTATTTTAATTGAGAGTATTCGTAGGGAATTGAACATCCCCACAATGTAATTAACTACGAGGGCTTGCGTTTCAAAACTCAACTAGTCTTTTTTGGAAAAAAAATTAAATTAACGATGATCATTATCGTCACACTCGATTGATTGATAATCTGTGATAAGTTTTCCCTTGCGAAGATATATCAACTATTTTTATGACTTTGAATATGAAGATAATGATGTTTTATCTAGGTTGTGACAGTTAATTTCAGTTAGAATGTCATTTTGGCCCTTTAGGGTTATACGTAGTTCTTCCTTGGATTTGATTATTATAATCAAGATGAAATTTTGAGTTTAATTATCTAAACTCATTAAGGAATGATATCTTTGCCTCTTGGGTCGATATATCGTTCGTAATAATGTGTTTGATTTTGAGACTAAAATCCTGAATTAAAATTCCCCAAGAAAACAAAAATTTTCAAAATATATTTTTTCAAACACTTTTAACACCAAACAAATATCTATTAGCGTTTATTAATATCATCATATCTCATAAAAGATTTCACCCATCAACTGTTCCATCATATTAGCAAACTAATAAATAGAATCAAAACTAACAACAAAAGAAATACCTTCTATTGATGTTGTTTAGCTAAGACTCTGCCCATCTATCATATTTAGGTTTTACGGATCCATTAGATAACCACACAAATAATATACAACTTAATATACATACACATGAAAATAAGTATAAATGAATACCCACATGCTTCAATTCATATAGCTCTATTTTATAATTACTCCCCAAAATCAGAACTCCGATACCAGAAAGGGATAGTCACAACCCAACCAAATATGGATCATAAACAAAACAAGTCATATCGTGTTGACTTGTGATAGACCAAACCCAACATCAAAGTTTTGGGGACTTTTCATATTTCTTCTAAATTATACAGACCACAGAACTCCCAATTTACTTATGGTAAGCATAGAAGTACTCATATGTAATTCATGTTATTTTAATTTATCACACAGAAGCGTGCGCGCGCGCGCACACACATACACACACATATATATACATACATACATTACATTCCATGGAAAAAGATCATAATAAAGCAAATAAATAATTATAAACGATAGTACAAGAAATTAGAAAATACCTCTATAGACTTAGACTTATCAGATTCTGAATCATTGGCTACACAATTGGCTCATTCCCCTTCCTAAGACCTGAAATAGAGCACAGAGTATATGTGAGCTAACGCAGCTTAATAGGTCACACCCACCATCTAAATTTTTAATAACTACATTTACTTGAATATAAAAGCAAGTCATAAGAAATATGTAATACAAAGCATATTATGAATCGTAGATAACTAAAGTAAAGCATATTATGCACTAAAAATAAATAAACAAATAAATACATCATAGAAGAAAATAATATATTTCCCTTAAGCCCTTATACCTCCCATAAAAATATAGATTAAAGTTCAAGCCTTCATGACTCTTTGTGCTAGCATATAAGAAAATATGTCCTTATGACTCTTAATGTTTGACATATATCATATATTCATAATTTAGGCCCTTAAGATTCCTTATACATTCAACAACAAAACTTCATTTATCATCAATCTCCTCAGAATCACACATTTCAAGCAAATAAGCATATTGTAGTAAAATAGACATAAATGAACGAACATCAGAAATGCTTAATCAAAAGGTTAGCTCATATAAACATGAGAAGCAATTCTCTTCTTTATGAAAAATTCTTTCAAAATCGCAAGGGGTTCACAATCACTGCCATATGGTGCATGTATTGACATATCATTCAATGCATGATAAGTTTAAATATAGGGCTAATGTGAGCCCATTCATATAAGAAACACCACTTATTCTATAAATTTTATAACATCCTTGTTTCCTTATGTTATGCCCGACCACAACATCTAATTGTATGTTGATGCCAAAAATATGATCCATTATGCTCAACATAAAGTTAAGAAGCATTACTAAAATTCCTCTACTGTTGGTTATTGTTGATGAATTTATGTTTTTGGGTCTATGTTTTTGCAACATTGGGTTCATACAAAAAAAATTATTTAGGGAGAAATTTTATGAAGAATTTTTTAGCCTCAACACCTAAACGAGGATGAATTATTTATATTAGTAATTCTCTCCCTGCGATATTTGTCATTTGACAACCCCAGTTTGAAGGCTGCTTATTATATTTGTGAACATGTACTATTTTGATTTTTTCAGCTTTTGACAACCATTAGGTGGATGGTCACTTCTGGCTCTAGGGATAGTTTTTGCCTGTGTTGCTTTTTGAATCTTGTTGATTCTTGGGATACAATTTTTGTTTCTATGTTCTGAGCCCTTATTTTGATCCTTTTTATTTCTGTTTTAGATGTTAATTTTTTAACTTTTTGGTTTTTGATATTGCTCTTTATTTCTTTGGGTTGTATGACACCTTTTTTTTTTTTTTGTAAATTCCTTTCCATAGTGAATGAAATGGGTTAAGGCCCCTAATATTCGAAAAAAAAAATCAAGGATACAATTACCCCCTATATTATTCCTGTTAATCACACTTTGCCTTTTTTTCTTTGTACTTAAGATGGAATGATATAAAAAGTATAATATAATTAAAAGCCTCTATGAAGTTTCATTTAGGGCAATTTGTATAAAGTATTGGCAATAATCATCTCCTTCTGCATTGAAAATTAAAATAAATTGAACTAAGGAAAGTATCCGAAGGCGAAGCCCCTATTTAATCCACCCCTGGAAGAAAATTTGAAACCACGTAACTAGCCGTTAGGTCTGACTGAATCACGCCCTCTTCTCTTTCCAGCTGTTCGTCATTCAACGGCTCCGATTTAATGACCGTTTGATTTAGAAAAAAGAACAATGGCCCGCAACACCATCCGACCTGGTTTTAAAATGGCCATCCTTTCGCCGTTCAGTACTTGGGATATCTGAGAGAAAGGGGAAAAGAAATCAAGGGAGGAGAGATAAAGAGAGAGAGAAATAGTGGAGAGAGGCTCTCTCTCCATGGCCGCCTTCTTTCTGTAGTTCTCTTTGGCTCGTATTGAATCTGTAAGCTTACAGACTCCGTGAAAAGGAATAATATCGGACTGCGAGGTTGCTTCTTAGGTGCGGATCGATTCAGAGATCTGTGCATCAAGATCTTGCTGATATCATGTTTCTCCTTCCTCTAGCTAAGGCTTGCTCTAGAATTCTCTGAGCATTGATTGCTTTCTTAGTGCAGGATAGAATGGAGAGAGGAGTTAAGAACGAACGGGGTGTAATCAGATCTGAGAACTACCAAGGTTTCAAGAAAGAAATGTTCTTGCTTTTAATCTTTCATTGGTGAATAATCCCAGTAAATGTGCCGATCATTCTTGTTTCGATGTGGATTCCTTTTTTTGGTTTCTTTGACAGGTTTTTTATTGGGGGGATTGAAACATGGAAGGGATATGGGGAACAATGTCAACAGAAGAGCATTAAGTGACATCAATAATCTCACAAGCGATGCTCCATATCCCTCGGCTATCTTCAAGAGGGTTTTGAACGAGTAATCTACATCAATTCTTCGGGAGTTTTGAACTCTAGCATATAAGCCCAAAATTGTGAAATTTTGAATTCTTTTTTATTTATTTATTTTTATTAATTTCGTTAGTGTGGCACCCATCAATGACAAGAACGATAATAGTTTTGTTGGTCGAAGACCCATTACCAGGTAGGAAGCAATTTTCCTTTCCTGTATCTGTAATTCTTTATTCCAGTAGGCTTCGTGTAGACTGAACTATTTTAATGGTGTTATTTTTAGGAAGTTTGCTGCTTCGCTAGCTCACAAATCACAAAATTGTTCGCAGGTATTTGATATAACTAAAAAGTATCATTAACAAAGAATAACACATAGACAGATCTCTTTCTTAGATCTGACAAATTGTATTGCCTTTTCATTATTTGTTAATCATACAGAATCCTAGCTCAAGGCTCAAACCAATAGGTAGCGAACGGCAAAAGAGAAGCCAACCAGTTCAAAGTACAAGTTCTGTAGGTGGTTGTGATTCCATAGATGTGGATGATTTTGTATCGGCTAATGACATTCCTTTGCCAATGGTGGAGGAGATTGAAGAGATGGTATTTGTTTCCTTGTTATGAATTCTGTAATTTGCTGGTTTTGATATTCAAATGTTAGTAAATTTTTTCCAAAGGTTGATTGTGAGCTGAAAGAAGTTGAAATGGAGGATCTGGAAGCAAAATTACTTATGGAAATTGACAGTTGTGATTCTAACAATCCTCTTGCTGTTGTTAACTATGTGAATGATATATATTCCTTCTACAGAGAAACCGAGGTGAAAATTAACAACTTTGTTACTTTTTCTGTACGTTAAACAATATTGATAGAGGCCTATTTGATATGCCAACATTTATCAACATTTAAAATAATAAAATGTCAAAATAGCCATTTATCATTTAAGATAATGTTTTATTTTTAAAAATTTACATAGATCTAACCACAGCCTTCCCTAGATGATCAAGTTATATAGATAGCAATGAACCTGACAGTCACTTCATTATTCTAAAACAATTTGGTTGAGTTTTTTTTATTGGTTCCATATGATTAGATAAAAGATTAGAAGATAAAAAAACTAACAAAATGTATGATAATATATCAGGAATTGGGCTGTGCATCTCCAAATTATATGTCAAATCAGCTTGACATTAATGAGAGGATGCGTGCGATTCTAATCGATTGGTTGATCGAGGTATAGATCAATCTTCTGCTTGATCATTTGAAATTACACAACTTCCTAATAATGGAATTACTCCCTTCTTTTGATTGTAGGTGCATTACAAATTTGAACTAATGGAGGAGACATTATTTTTAACAGTCAACTTAATAGATAGGTTCTTAGCTCGACAACGTGTTGTGAGAAAGAAACTTCAACTGGTTGGAGTGACAGCCATGCTTCTTGCATGTAAGTATGAAGAGGTTATGGTCCCTGTTGTGGAGGATCTTATCCTCATTTCTGACCGAGCTTACACTAGGGAGGAAGTCCTTCAAATGGTAATATTAGTTTTTCATAATAAAAGTCAATTTATTTAATTTATGAGACAATTTTTTATGCCCATTCCTCGTCCATATATAATTTTGGTTCTAATTATGCAAACAGGAAAGCTTGATGGCAAACACACTGCAATTCAACATGTCAGTGCCAACTCCTTATGTGTTCTTGAGGAGATTTCTCAAGGCTGCTATGTCGGATAGGAGGGTATATGCTCTTTTTGAACAAATAACAGATGTTATTCTAGCTTTTGCATTGAAGCTTTCTTACAGTTTATTATTTTGATTTGAACTAGCTTGAGCTCCTGTCCTCTTACATCATAGAGCTGTCTCTCATTGAGTATGAAATGCTCAAATATAGCCCTTCCATGCTTGCTGCTGCTGCAATTTACACAGCTCAGTGCAGTCTGAAAGGATTCAAGCACTGGACAAGAACCAGCGAGCTGTGTACCAAATATTCAGAGGACCAGCTTCTGTAAGTTTATATTATCTTTGGTTCCATTATGTCCATGATGAATACTAATTAAATAATCTCACTATATAAAGCCCACATCAAGTGTCATATGGCCGTAAATTTAATAAAGATGCGTTCAACTATTTTCTTATAGATTTTCATAATTTGGTTGAAGATCTGTAAGTAAAACAGTTTATCTGAAAAAATATAATCTGTGTGCCAGTAGTCTTAAAATTTGGCTGAATAGGAGAATTATAAATCAATTAAACTTCTATGCTAGAGTCAAAGTCATATTCTTGGGTCAAGATGTATTTTAACTTCCCCATTAATTCATTTCCTTCCATTCGGTGAAAGTGGAGGAAATGAATTAATCTGAATCCACAGCCATCATTGATTTGAGTTTTTCAATCAATCCATTCATTTCCTTTCATCTAAGCAATAACCTTTGGGTTTGGTTTGAAGAAAGATAAATTTGCTTTACTTCACAACTCTGTTATAAAGTAAATGTGGTCATCAACTGCATTTAAGTTGCTTACATTCTTAGCACACCAATACACACGACTCCTTGAAATAGTCTTAAGCGGTCTTCTTTTCTTGTATAATATTAACTAATGCAGCTGTTAGAACTCTAATTTAATGGTGAATCTACTGGAGGACTGAATCTATCAGCTTAGTTGTTACCATTTGTGTCATTTTATATTACAGGGAGTGTTCTAGGATGATGGTGGATTTTCACCTACAGGCAGGGAAAGGAAAGCTTACAGGAGTCCATAGAAAATACAGCACATATAAATTTGGATGCGCAGCAAACTCCACACCTGCTCTTTTCCTCTTTGATATGAAGATCTAACATTTCGAAGCCAAAAATTTACATAACAAAACTTGTAACCTAACTTCAGGATGAGGTTAAAACGTTTGGAAAGTTTGAGTGGCTTACCCTTCTTGCAATTGGAGTTGCTATTGGCATGCAATGTAAGTTGCAGTTGGAGTCTATGCCTTCAGTGTTCTGTTTGTTTTACTTGATCAGATTTTAAATAACTCGTCTCAGAGCTGTTATGGTAGAAATAACAAATATTATTAGCAATCAAAACTGTTTTTTTTTTTTTTTTTGAAATTTTGGTTTCTTAAAGTTTTTACCTTTTTAAAAAACTCAATTTTTTTTCTTTGCATTATTAGATTTGCTCAATGCTCGTGCCTACATTTTTACTTTTGACTGATTGGCTTGTGAAAATTTTGTAATTATTTAGCATTACTTAGCTTAAAGTTGGTGCCTTAGTTATTTGTTGACTTTAATTATTTAATTATTTTGATATAGGGTGGCATATAGGGTGAGAGATTAAATAAGATAAACATAGTATTCAATTATTTGATATAGGCTTATATTAGTAACTATCCCTTCAACAAAAGCTCGTTAATATCAAGAGATAATGAACCCAAGTTTTAACTAAACCACTTAGTAGCAACATGTTAGAGTCATTCAGTCGTTAGACTCACAAAAACAATCATTTGGCTCTAAGAGATAAAGCATTTAGACTCTCCTAGAGATTGAGAATTACAAGGGATAAAAAAAATAGGCTTGGTACAAAAATAGTGATAAGATATTAATTTAGATACACATATTAGATAGATATATTTGTCAACTATTTGATATGGCTTTATATTAGGTAATATCCTTAAAACAAAAGCTCTTTAATATCAAGTGACAAGAACTCGAGTTTTAGCTGACCATTTAATGGAAATGTTTCAAAGTCATTAACTCTTAAATAAGACTCATGAGAACAAGCAATTGACACTAAGAAAATTATAAGAAACCAAATGTTGGAAATTGGTACAAAATTATGTGTTAGGAGCTTTCTTCTCTCTAATATTTTAAAATCATTATATGATATTCATCTGCTTTTAAGGCAACTCACATGAACAAAAAAAAAGTCTCTAATAATAACAGACCAAAAATTGGGTTTGGTGCTCTCTAGTATTTCTAAATCAAAACATATTTCCATCATCAAATATGTGACTTATGTGGCCCACTAAGCACCAAACATTCATCTCCATTCATGAAACACCCCCAACCTAATTTAAGATTGAACTAAAATACATATTAAAGAGTAGAAAAGAAGTATAAAAAAACTTATCTAATTTATTATTTTCTTATATATGAAATTAGCAACTTGCTTTTTGATTGAAGATGATTATGCAATATTGATGCAGGTAAGCTCAATTTTCCCTTCAAGAAAAACACTCTCAACCCCCTAATTTAAGATTGATCTAAAATACATAACTTTTTTTTTAAAAAAAATTAACATGTAGGCTCTTTTTATGAGTTTTTACCAAAAATAAATAAATAAATAAAGGTTAGAAAAGAAAGATAAAGAAAACTTATCAAATTTATAAATTTCTTATATATGAAATCATCAACTTACCTTTAGATTGAAGATGATGATGCACTATTGATGCAAGTAACCTCAACTTTATAATGTGATTTTCATCTTATTAGGTTTTATGAATAACGTTATTTTTCAAACAATATTAATCAAAGTTACATGAAATGCTTTGAATAGGTTGTAAAATTTAGAAATTATAAATAAATATCTTAGTCATAATTAAGTTAATTAAATAAGGTTATTTTGATTTATGCTTTTTTTAGTTGTGGTTTCTCATAAGGTCTTATAATTTACTTTTCCTTGCTACGTGATGCAGGGAATGTTCTAAGAAGGCTTAATTAAAAAAAAAATCATACATGTTTTTAGAAGTAAAAACTTTACTCATTCACTCTTCAATCAATGGTGTGCGTGTTCACGCACGGGGATAGAGGTGAAAAAAGAATGCTCAAAGGAGAACTGAAAACAAAAAAAAAACTCTAAAGAGTCCATGGTTGGAGTATTGCTCCTTGTCTCATTATTTCTTTTTCCATAGCAGAAAGTATAAAAGAAATCCCCTTACATTATGATGCTATTAGGTAGGTGTGATGCAATCTACCAACAGGAAGATGCTGAGGCAATACATCAAATTGTGTATGGGTAGATTGACTGTTGGTAATCCCTATGTGCCATAAGCCTAGGCAAGTTGGCACTAAGGACATGATTTGTTAACCCCATATGAATAAAGTATGAGACATTAATGATTTGATGATCAAACTTCAATATGTTGTCATTGAACATTTGCTAATCTCTATAAGCCTTACGCGTCTAATTAGTCTATATACAAGATGACTTATTTTGATATGCATTTAGATCTTTTGTAGCTTAAAATTGAGCTATAGATGGTGAACCATGATATTTCAATGAGGCAAAGTAAAATAGCTTATTTTGTGCGTTTAGGTATTTTAATATATGATTGAGGCACTATTTACCCTAAAATATCATAAAAGTAATGAACGCATCACAAAATTTGATTTAAATGATATGTGTATTGAAATGTGGATTTATCTATGATTTATATACATTTATTTGATTTATATAAATTTTATCAATATAAAATACAATAATTAATAATCATGTGCTAAATTTTATTTTTTTATTGGAATTCATTACTAAAAATATTAAAAAATAAGTTTAATTTTAATTTTTATAAATATATTATGAATTTATTTAATGATAATTACCTTAAATCCTATAAGTTTAAAGTATGTTTATATTTTATATTTTTATTTGAAATGGTTAGGGTACATTAATAACATATTTATATTACTAAATAAAAAGTACAAACTTGTATTACTCATTTGATAAATTAAAAAAAAACATAAAAATTATTTTCTACTAAATGCATTATCAATGTTGGAAAAATTGCTTCCAAATGCATTCTCAATGTTGAAAAAAAAACATAAATATACATTATACTAGCTACTACATGAACATGAAAATACCAAATGCATTTTCTATGTTGAAAAACATGCTTCCATGGTGACAGGACATCAAGCACTTTAGTAGAACCTACAATGAGAAAAGTTTATAATAAGTGAGTTTGATTATGTAACCCTTTATTAAAGAATAGAACGCAAGGCAATGGGCATGCAACATGAACAATAGAATGTATGAGTGACTATGTAAAAGCAAATATACTAAGCATCATCAATTATCATCGTGTTAAAGTAATAATGCATTACATGAAAAAGTTTGTAATATATTCTAAAATGATTTTTAATATGATGAATTTCATGATCATTTGTAAGATAAACTATACTCATTATAATTCTATTCTAATACATTCATATGAAACCATAGCATGTATAATCATATCTCTCTAAATGTGACTTGTTAGTCATTTATTATTCCATTTTATATATGTTCACATATTTGTGTAAGTTTTGTTAAAAAAATTATGAAATTAAGAAGGTAAACACCAACAAAAGGAAATCGAATGAGTTCTTATAAATTCATCACTCTATGGGCCTATTAGCTTACCTAGCCAATATGTAAAAGGCTACCAATCTACGAATCAGTGTTCATATGCGTACAATGTTTAAGTATTTCATAAGCAAGTATCCAACATGCATTATATAGTCAAAATGATGAATGGTATTTTATAACAAAATTTGATGTAAGGAATATCATTTACTGCAATTAATAGAAATAATGTGAATGTAAAAAGATCTTATACTTCAAAAATTAATTCAATATATAGAAGTTATTTAGCAATAAATCAAGGCAACATTATAATTCTATTAGGAATACTAAAACATATATAATAGTAACTAAGTAATAAAAACATGACACACAACCTATAAATATCTCAGAATTTAATACAAGTAGTATGAATAAAACCCTAACATAAAAGAGTGTATTTTTCTTTTAATAAATAATCCTTACTTTCATTAAGTTGCAAAGCTAAAAAGACATTCTCACATTAAACAAAGTGACAACACCAAATGTGTAATGACATGAAAGTCTTAAATATAATGAATTCTTAATTAATTATAAGAATATAAATTAAGGTATTAAAATCTAATTTGTTAAGATTAGCTCTCACCTGAATAGGAAGGAGGCCAGGACTTATTGAAGGAGGATCGATGAATATGAAGGTAGTGGCAGCAAGAGGAGCATGATGCCCTAGCTTTCAATCTCCTTAAATTGAGATGCAAGGATGGCAGTGAGTATAGATTTTAATGCGATTATCTTAGATTGAGGTGGTAATGGGATTGTCGCATGAGATTGTAAATTTCTCTACTTCATGAAAAGAGTCGAGTGAAAAAATTGTAAGACACAAGTTCTCATAGAGGAGCCTATATCCAAACTTGGAATATAAATTCATTTATTAAATACTACCCCTTTAAAAGAATCGTGTTCCCAAAATTCATACATTATTTTTGGATTAGCAGCATGTATTGCATGATTATCTCTTCTTCAATATTCCATATTTCTTTTACAGTGTCTAGCTCTTCCGAAGTTTTTTTTAATAAAAATAATGTCAGATAAATGATGATGTTGTTGAATTTCATACTCCACAATATGTTGTAGTACTTTTATAACTCAAATTTTCTTGAATTAATAATGGCTTGAACTGAATTATATGAGAATCATCATTCACATAGCATTGCATAAATAGATTTAAATATGTACTCTTGCAAATCTTAGAGTGAGAGCTAAATGATTAGAAACTCTATCAACTTTATAAGTCACATCAAAAGTACCAATAAAGTGAGGCTAAAGCTTTAAATTATTATTGAATCTTATAACTCTAGACATTGGTGGAATATTAAGAAAAATATAATATCTTTCCTCAAATTCAATCTCTGCATACGTAGGGTTCAAAATATCATATCAAGTGTTCTTATGCTAAATGAAGTCATTCCCAAAGTGAAGAATATAATTAATTAAGATCCTAAGTGTTTCCTCTGGCCAACCTCAAATCAAC